ATTATTATTATTATTATTTTCTCATAATTTCTTCATTTATTGCTGGTTCATTCACCAGGGGCCAACCAGGTCCCTCAGGTTTACTCTCTGCACTTGGCTGGTATTCAGCCTAGTACTCGTGGAAGTATGTGAGCGCTCCCTAGCAGCACAGTCTTTTGCATTTATTTGGCATTGACTCTACATGGGAGTTTGTCTAGTTGCTCTTGAAATCCTTTCTTCATTGTTCCTAAAGCTCCAATTATGATTGGTACAACTTGAGTTTTTGTGTTACACGTATTAGACTTCTATCTCCAGATCCTTGCACTTTGTTATTTTCTCTGCTTCTTTCTTTAGGATGTTATTGTCATTTGGGATAGAAACATCAAGCAAATAACACATTTTGTTGTTCTTGTCATGGAGCACAAAAAAATACCATACCGCCATGAGAAAATGCCAAAGCTATAGGTAACCACTGACACTGCTAAACTGTTGATTGCAGCGATCTTGTTCTTTGAGTTCAGCTCTGATTTGAGAACCATTCTGATACGCCGATAGTATTCCTTCCTTGTTTTGGCTTTCATGGACTCACCCTGGATGCCATCACCCTCATCCATGCCCAGGTACTTGAAGATACCTCCAAGTTCCAGGCTTTTGATAGTTTCTTTGTCACTGAAAGTGACATCTAGGCCTGGGGCTAGTTTGCCTTGGTGGAAGGTCACTTTAGCGCACTTGTCCAGGCCAAATTCCTTTGCAAAAAGTTGCACAAAATCCTCCTCGAGTCTGGCTTTTCTTCCCGGTCACGACTTGCTCTGATTATTGGGCATATCAATAATATAATCAACAATTGTTGCTTATCTGAATCTGACTCCCCGGTTGGCTTCAGAACAGGCTGACTTATCAATTTCTCCTGGGAAATGTGTAAACTAAGGACAAGTTTCATCTATCGTGACATCCCCCCTCCCCCATCTTCTGTGGAGGCGTATCAGAACTGTGTCGTCTGACCATCATCTTATCAGGACAATGGACTATCTGTTAGTGCTTCATGGACCGCCTTGTTATCAAACGCATATGTAACGTGTTCATAAATGTGCTGCTGGCAGAGTTTTTTGATGTCTTCAATCGTGTCCTGTTAGGACAAGGTGTGAAGAGATCTTTTTTTGTAATGCCACTACCCTGTCTTCATGGTTTTGTCCCTTTTTCTATCTAAAAAAATGTATTCTGAAAAGGATAAGAAGGCCGCGCTTTATAGCAGCAGCTACGTGCACTCCGTCCATCTTTCGGACGACTGTACGTACATATTCTCGTTGTATCTCGGTGCAATGATAATAAAACTTATTCTGATTCCTCTGCCAATCACGTGACATGTGACAAAATCACGTGACTGTGACTGGTCCACATGAAATTTAAAAACTCGCAAGATCCTAGAATCGACTTAGTTAACTAGTCAACTAGTCGATTCAACCCCTAGTTCACTCTGTAGAACTCCAGGCTTTGCAGGATCCACGAGTGGGTTAAGTTATCAAAAGCTTTTTTATAGTCTATCCACACTTAGGTTTTTTATTCTGCTTTTGGCATATCGGATTACCATTTTGTTCATAAGAAGTTGATCTTTGCATCCCTTAGTCGCCTTCCTACAACCTTTCTGTTCTTCAGGCAGCATGCTATTCCCTAATAGGTGGTCATAGATTGTGTTTGCCATTATGCCATTTAGGGTCTTATAAAGTGTTGGGAGACAAGTGATTGGCCAATAGTTCAATCGATAGTTATTATTATTAATATTATTTGCCTGCTCAAGGCAACGTAGAGTGATGAATCCTGGTGAGCTCTGAGGGAGTAATGTCAACCCAAATTTTCATAGTGATCTTTCATACACCCAGATGCAAACACAGCAACATGGAAGCTGGTACTGCACTTATTTTTCAAGTTTTCTAGCTACCAAGAGAGGCAGACAGATGGAGGATATTACCAAGTCCCCTCTTCGCTCCACAATGGGTGAGAAAAACTTCAGCAGAATCAGATTCAGAATGGATAGTTGTTTGTCTCAGCCTCTTGGGGTTAGCAAGAACATAAGAGACAAACAAATTCAGTTATGCTTGTTATCTGCTGTTTTACACATCTGCAGTACATTATTCACACTGTTTGTAATCTGCATCCAAAATACAAGATGTTTTAATGTAAAGATACCTTTTTGCCTGTGGCTACATACTGGGGTGTAACGGTACGCTAAAATCACATTTCGTTTCAGTTCAGTTTCAAGGAAGACTCGGTTCGGTTAATTTTCGGCACAAAAAAGACCAAAATAAATATTTACAAAATGTTTATTTTGAAAATATGCCAAGTAAAGTTCAGTCATTACAGACTTCTTAGTTGGAGGTGATCTGGTGGATGAAGAAGACTCAGCTGCTGTCATCCTCAGACTGCAAACAAGACAGAGATTTTAAAAAAAATTGAGTTAATAAGATCAAAATTTTAAATTAAAAAAGTTAATTAGATCACCATAATACAATAATAATACCTCTTCTTGCACGGTCATCATATGAGGTGGTTGAATATCATCTCTCACTCATCATCATGTGGCAGGCCTTTAATCTGGTCCAGGGCTTGTTGACGATCAATTTTAGCTTTTTCATAAAGTGCTGCTACAATTTTTTGGCTGAAGTGTTGATGTGATGTGATGTCATAGGCAGCGGGGCTCAAGTCTTTAATCATATGCTTAGAGCCGGCGCATCAACAACATTTGGACGTAGATCCAGAGTTTTAAAACCTCCTACAGCTTGTGTTATTGCTTTAGACAGATCAGAATTACCTGATAAAGGCTGTTTAAATGATGCTGTTATCGGTCTTTGCACCAAACTATGTTCGTATTCGGATGATGTCATTTCAAGTGCGTTAACAAGTTAGACGTGTTGCTGCTGCAGATCCAATCTCCGTGAAACCACGTTGACGCACAAGATAATAGCGCCGTGCTGAAACACGCTTAGGAACTTTAGTTCCGTGGCACATAATCTCTTGTTAATAAAATTTAATGAGTAAAAAAGTAACAGAAACGGTACGCACGTGGACCAAACCGAACATGCTGTACCGAAACGGTTCAATATTCAATACATGTACCATTACACCACTAGGGCATAAAGTTAGGTATAATTGGGTTGCTTCATGTTGCTGTCTTCCCTTCCTTCAGTCCATCAGTCAGTTTGTCCTTCTTGTGAGCTGGATTACTTGGGTATAAGCTTCAATTCTGCAGATAGGTGTAACAAAGGTCACTATCAAAGATTGGATTGCCGCGTCAAAATCCAAGATGGCTGCCACTTAATATTATGTAACACGAACACCCAATCATTTTAAGGGAAACTATGCTTTCTGGTTTTTATATTGCTTAAAAGTGTTGTTTCAGTTGATTGGAATGGTTGAAGTTTAATCACTGGTGGCCAAGTCCACCATTAGTGGTTCCACCTGGCTCCTCCATTGTGCCTGGTGGTGAGTAAAATTGCCCCTTCACTTGCTAGGATCCGTCACTGTGCAGCCTCGAACAAGCAAAAAAAAAACTACCTACTGTATGTTCTTCTACAAAGTACACAGTGTAACTCCTACTCACTTGAATAGCTTGCACCAAAAATATTATAGTTTACTTACTTGTTCAGTTCTACTGAAGAAAAATACTCAATTCAAAAACCATAATCATTCACTATTCAAATTCCTCAGCAACTGAAGGCATTGGCATACTGCTTGTTTTTCCTTGTGTTGATTTCATGATCATGCCACCATTTGAAATCCCTCTACTTTCAGTTTAAATATATATTTTCAGATCAAGCTTGCTAGCCTGTGGTGTAAAACAGGATGGACTTTGAGAAACTAATAAAATTTACAATTTTTCTCATTCTGCCAACTGACCATCCCAGCCCAAATATTTTCTGAACTATGCAATAAATTTGCCTGACTGAATTCTTGTGTGAGAGTTACCTCCACTTCATGTTAGTCTGTGTCTGGTAGAGGAAATGTGGGGAATGCTCTGCGCAGGCTGACATGCAGTGCCTCTTGTTGATTAGGTAAACCGCGATATGCCTAGGCCCCTGTCATCATGCATGGCAGCTGGTGAGGCAGCTGAGTGAGTTCTGTTTTCCTCAGAGGATTTCCTCTGAGTCACACTTGCTAACGTTCAAAAGAGGGGAAGTGTGCGCTGGATTTTTAAGATCACTTTCCTTCCCGTTTTAGTTGAGTCAAAAATCAGCTTTCATTTGTGAACAAAGAAGCCGAACACTTTAATCTATACCAGGCTATTCAACTGGTGGTCCGGGGGCCAAATCAGGCCCAGGATGAACTCAGTTCAGCCCCCCAGTGGGTTCATTTCAAGTAAAACTAGATTTTAAACCATAAAACAAACTTAATGACAATAACTGCTGGATGTCCAGCCCCTGAGTTCATGGCTTTCAGTAACTGTGGCCCCCTGAGCAATTTAGCTGAATATCCCTGATCTATAGTCAGTGACACATTTCATGAGTTTAGAATATGAAAATATATTTATTTTTATGCATTCAGAAGGTGCATATATAAAATACTATATATACTATAAAATACAGACAAATGCTACATGTGAGTCAGCATTACAGAATTCAAGTCAGTTTTTTAATATAGCGCCAAATCACAACCAAAGTCATCTCAGGGCACCGAACAGAAACATTCACATACATAAAAAGTAGCCCAAGTTAATAATGTTATTTATCTAAATTCAAAAAAGTTCAAGACTAAAACAACAGGACTTTATTTGTGAAAGCTCCTTGGATGAGAAGTGAAATGTCTTCTGTTACAAATAGAGTCCACTTGTTTTTATCTTGAACTTTTTTGAATTCACCATGTCCTGGATGACAGAATCTTCACAGCGTTATTTATCTAAGAAGAAGAAGTTAACTGTGTGTCTTAGATTTGAAAAAGAAGCTGATTTACATTTTGTCTTACAGATCTTTGGGGAGACTGAGCCTGTCCGGATGACATCAGAAGGCTCAGACTGCCGCTGTAAGTGCATTATGCGCCCTCTGAGTAAGGATGCCTGTCTGCGGTTGCGGAGCGGCAGTGTGCGTGTTGAGGACTTCTACACAGTTGAGACAGTCAGCTCTGGATCCGACTGCAAGTGCTCATGCACAGCTCCTCCATCCTCCCTCAACCCATGTGAGAATGAATGGAAAATGGAGAAGCTGAAAAAACAGGCTCCTGAATTACTGAAGGTAAGGAAGTGAAGTTTCAAAGGAAGGGTCCAAGATTTAAAGATGTGTTACTACTACCAATACCTGTCAACTGCAAAGAAAGGTGCATTACCCAAGGAACCAATGTATAAGTACTGGAACACCCTTTTTATAGCCCATTCTTTGCCCATTAGTCTTCCATAGATTGTTCTCTACTAAACAAAGATCACTGTTGTACCCAGCTATGTTTGCACACACACACACACGCACACACACACACACGCGCGCACACACACACACACACATGCACGCCTACTTAGAGCAGTCTTGTTGTACTTGGATCAGCACACATTTCCACACACAGCGTTCAGTGATAAGCAGCGGATCATCCTACATGTTGAGGAAATAGTATCTGCAGGAAAACAACAGAAAACAGCTGAGTCTAGAACATGGAAAAAGACATTAAATGGAAAGAAGAGTGTAGTGTTAGAATAGAAATAGAAAAAAATAAAAAAGTTTTATTAATGTTCCATAATTTAGGAAGGGTACATTGTCATTCAGGTGCACACCCAAGTACTTGTAGCTGTTGACCACTTCCACCACAGATCCTCCTATGATCGGGGGGTGGGGGGGATGTAGGTGTGTTTGTTCCTTCTGAAGTCCACGACCATCTCCTTCGTCTTCTTCACATTGATATTGAGGAGCAAAGCATCTTTGTGGTTTAGCTCCGATGCATCTGTACTGAACAAAGGTGCTCTGATTTTTGCACCTCAGAGGTAAGCTGTATGACACACAAAAGAAAAGGTGTATTCAGATCATTTGACTAGTCTTTAAAACAATCTAAAGGCTCCTAAATGTTGAAAAGGAGGCCCAATATATCTGAGACAAACTAAAGACAGCTGTTACACTAACAGCACTCTGCTGCTGACTGAACTAAGTGTAGATATCAATACAGGTAATCAGGGTAAAGATTTTAGTTGGCCATTCTCAGTATCACAGCATTGACCTGTCAGGTTTAAGTGTAGGAGATTATAACTGATGCTGGATCTTCTCCTTTTATGGCATGAATGATCAGCTCCAATCCATGGTAGACCTCCTCGAGGGAACTCTGTACAGCATGGATCTACTGAAAATCCACTCCTACATCAACAAGGTGGTCTCTCAGATGAACACACTAGAAGAGGTAAGCATGAAACACTCGTTGCTTCATTTTGATATAGTCAAAGAATTAGGAGAAATGTGTTCATTGTTGAGCATTACTTGCCAAAAGTTGTTATTTTGTCTTACAGACAATTAAGACCAACCTAACACGAGAAAATGAGTTTGTTCGTGACAGCATGATGAGCCTCACCAACGAGTTTAAAAGATATGAGAACTACTCCAACGTTATGATGAGCATCAAGAAGGAGATCTCCAGTCTCAGTCTGCAGTTGCTGCAGAAAGACTCCTCAGAGAGCAAAGCACAGGTTAGAAGCAACGCAATGTGTGTGGTGTTAAATCAAGGTCGGTGCTTAATTATTAATGTTAGTTTTAGTCTAATTTTATCTTAAGATGAGCAGGGACAGAGTTTTAGATGTTGTAGTCAAACCTTACAAAGTAGCATCATGCTCATTCTTGTGAGAACTTGTAAGATTTTAGCTTTGAGACTGTGTTGAGAATTACTCTGTTACTACCACACAGAGTTTTAGGTTGTTCTCTTTCAAACTGGCTGAGTTGTAGCCATGTATGTGTTTTCACAGGTCATTTGGTTGTGACGGGAATTCCAAACGTGAATGACCCCCGAAGCCACTTAAATTAAGATTCACATCTGACAAATCTCTTCAATAGTTTCAATAAATCCATTTAGTGGTTAATGAGATAATTTAGTGGTTCATGAGATATTTTACTAACAAACAGGCAGAACTGGCTACAATAGACAATGGCAAAGTTTTTAATGCAGTGGTTCATTGCATATTTTGCTCTGACTCAGTTATGGCCAGGCAGGTAAAATACATCCGTAGAGCCAGGGAATGGAACAGACATCACTTCCACAGCTCATCTTTCCAGAGCTGTCTCATCAGACAGTTTCAGTTCAGCTTCTCGGTTTCTGGTCCAATAGCGACTATTTACCTGGACACTGATTTATACACTGTAGGGTTTCTGGGGTCTTGTCCTGTCTTTTCTGTTTCCTCATGTTTTCAGTCACCCCTCAGTGTTCCTCCTCCTTGTGTTCAGCCTTTGTCTCACCTGTGTTCAATGCTAACCACCACAGGTGCCTGTCATTTTACCCTAGTTAATGTCTGTATATTCAGCTCCCTTGTGTCTTGTCATTTGTCTCTGGATTGTCCTCCCTGTGGCTGTGATGTTTCGTCTCCCTCCATGTTCCTTCCTTAAAAGTAAGTCTGTTGCCCGGCCAGCATTTTGTTTTGTTTATTGAAATAAACTAAAGTATTTGCTTTTACTGGGTGTTTCCTGTGCCTTCCTGCACATGGGTTCAAACATTGAAGCAGAACATGATAGAATCCAGAGACCAAACTGAACCCAGAGACCAAACTGAACCCAGCAGGAGGATCACCCTGGTTGAGTTCCTGGCCCGAGAGGCAGAGAAAACTGCCCAATGGGTTAAAGAGGAGAAAGAGAGAAAGAAGGCTCAGTTTCATGGGACCCGCCTGGCTTTCAAACCTGGGTCCGCTGCTTCACCGTCTTTCCTTCATTCACCACCTCATCCAGCTGCTGCTCCTCACTACCCACTTCCTCCCTGCTCTCTTCCTATCTGTCCCAAGTGGTCCTCTGAGGGAGGGGGGCAACCCGCTGGTTCTCCCCATGTCCGGTGCAAGAAGGGAAGAGTTTCACAGGCAGGGCTCACCGGGAGACCATCCAACAAAGCAGTCCAGCCCTCGCTGGCTGGAAGAGCAGCGCAACGCAGTCCTGCTGAGGAAGCCGAGTTCCGGGCAGCTAGACCCGCCTTCTTGGATGTCTGTGTGTGTGGGGGAGGACGACCCCCGCTCCTGCATGTCCTGAGATGACAACCTGAGATGGCAACCTTTGCTCTGAACCATCTAAAGCTGACACTATGGTCACCTCCAGTGATCTCTGGGAGAGGATGGTACCTGTTGAGGACTTTTATTAATGAGTACACCTGGTCAGATAATCTGAGCAAGTCACCAGGGATGTCGGAGTTGTTCCAGGAAGCATGGGTGGAGAGATGCACGCTGCGCTCTCTTCTACTGCCACCTGTCAAACTAGTCTCTGGTCAGCCTGGTTCTCCTCCCAACTAGCCTCCGGGAGTGGCCTCCATGCCCCCGTCTTCAGTCCCTGAAGGAGCTACGCCCCTTCCTGTTGACCCTGAAGTAGCTACGCCCCTTCCTGCAGTTTCCAAAGTGGCTATGCCCCCTCCTGCAGTTTTTGATGTGGCTACAACCCCCTCCTACAGTTTCCAAAATGGCTATGCCCCCTCCTGCAGTTTCCAAAATGGCTATGCCCCCTCCTCCAGGGCCTCTACATCAGCTGCCACCTCCTGGACCTCCCACGTCAGCTGCACCCCTCTGTGCCTCCACGTCAGCTGCACCCCTCTGGGCCTCTATGTCAGCTGCACCCCTCTTGGCCTTCATGTCAGCTGGACCCCTCTGGGTCTCCACTTTAGCTGCCATCCATGGGGTCTCCAAGTCAGCTGCTGCCTACGGGGCCTCCATGTCAACTGCTGCCTCTGGGGTTTCTATGTTAGCTGCAGCCTCATTGGTCCCTACATCAGCTTTAACCTCCTTGATCCCTACATCAGCTGCAACCTCCTTGGTCCCCACATCAGCTGCAGCCTCCTTGGTTCTCACATCAGCTGCAGCCTCCTTGGTTCCCACATCAGCTGCAGCCTCCTTGGTCCCTACATCAGCTGTAGCCTCTTTAGTCCCTGCATCAACTGGAGTCCTGCTGGGCCCATTTCCTGAAGAAGTCCTGCTGGGTCCATCTTCTGAAGTAGACCGGCTGGACCCATCTCCAGATGCAGACCTACAGGGCCCAGTTCTAACCACATTTCCCTCAATGGACTCACTGCTGGCTGTGGTACGCATTGCTGGTCCACCTACTAAGGCTCTCATCGTTGGTCTGCCTGCCAAGGCTCTCATCGCTGGTCTGCCAGCTGAGGCTCCCATCACTGGTTCACCAGCAGCCACAGCCTCTCCAGTGGTCTCTTTGCTTACAGCCACAGTCTCTCCAGTGGTCTCTCTGCCTACAATCACAGTCTCTCCTGTGGTCTCTTTGCCTACAGCCACAGTCTCTCTAGTGCCTCTTAACCTACAGCTGCAGTCTCTCCAGTGGCTTCTTCGCCTACAGCTAGTCTCTCCAGTGTCCTCTTTGCCTACAGCCACAATTTCTCCAGTGGTTTCTTCGCCTACAGTTACGGTCTCTCCAGTGGCCTCTTCAACTGCAGTCGCGGTCTCTCCAGTGTCCTCTCCACCTGTCTCCATGGCCTTCCCGTGGTTCTCCTCACCCCTCTTCTACCAGAGTCCACGTGGGTATAAGTGGATGCCACTGCTGCCCATAAATGAACGGTCTCCTGGCCGCCCTCCAGAACTCTGGCCTGAAGATGTATGGTTTCCAGACCGCACCCCTGATCATATGCCTCATTGGGGACGATCACTGGGCCATCTGTCTCAGTGTCGGTCCTGCTTTGGACGATCTCCTGACCACTCACCTTGATTCTGTGGGTTCCTTTTAATGTGTTTAGTTATACCCAGGTTCCTACTTGTCGTTTTTTTGTTTCTTGCTCCTCATGCTCCTCTGTGCCCTCCGTCCTGTTTTTTCCCGCCTCCTACCAAAATTGGATGTAATTCTCTCCTTGGGATTTCAGGAGTCATCCCATGAGTGGGGGGTCCTGTAAGGTTTCAGGGGTCTTGTCCTGTCTTTTATGTTTCCTCATCTTTTCAGTTACCCCTCAGTGTTCCTCCTCCTTGTGTTCAGCCCTTGTTGTACCTGTATTCAATGTTAATCACCACAGGTGCCTGTCATTTTACACTTGTTAGTGTCTGTATATATTCAGCTCCCTTGTGTTTTGTCATTTGTCTCTGGATTGTCCTTCCTATGGCTGTGACGTTCTTTCTCCCTCCTTGTTCCCTCCTTAAAAGTAAGTTTGTTGCCCTGCCAGCATTTTGTTTTGTTTATTGAAATGAACTTAAGCATTTGCTTTTACTGGGTGTTTCCTGTGCCTTCCTGCACGTGGTTCAAACATTGAAACAGAACATGACACACGCATACACAAAATTCTTTGTAGCAGTCTTATCACTAATGAACCACTAGACAAATTTTAATGAAAGTTTCAAAAAGTACTCATTGTATGTACATCTGCAACTGACCAACTTTCCGAGTCTCTATAAGAGAAGATGATGACACACCTAACTGTTATTAGCTAACTAAAGGTAGCTATAACTCAGTCAACTCCTGCTTCAGGATCACTCCTACTCTATTTCTCTTTCTACATCATGGGAAAACAGTTTAAACCCTGCTCCAATGTGACCCTTGCTGCCCTTCCACTTGGTTTCTTGGACACATAAAACATCTACCATCCTTCTCTGTATCATGTCAGCCAGCTCTCTACCTTTGCCTGTCATTGTCCCCACATTTAGAGTTGCAACCCTCAGTCCTACATTTGTGACTTTTCTCTTCTCCCTCTGTCTCCTGACATGTTTCCCCCCTTGTGGTCTTCGACTAACAGTGGCATAATTTATGCCGGCATCCAGTTTGTCAACAGCACCGTTGGCAGTCGTTGTTGACTCGGGCCTCGACTGATCCAGTATAATGTCACTTGGATGAACTCTCATTATAGTATTCAGTTCAATTCAGTTTATTTATATAGTGCAAAGTCACAACAGAAGTCATCTCAGGGCCCTGAACAGAAACATTCATATACCAGTACATTAAAAAAACACTACAGTATTTATCTGAGGAGCAAACTGCTTTAAATTTAATTCCATCACAGAACTCTCATCTTGAGCAAGCACGAAGGCAACGGTGAAAAGGAAAAACTCCCTCATGAGGAAGAAACCTTTAGCAAAACCAGGCTCGAGACAAGCGGCCATCTGCTTCGACCGGCTGGGTTTGAGAGGAACAGGAAGGAGGAACAGATACACAATGGCAGGTCAAGAATCATGTTAAGATAGAAATAGTATCAAATGAAAATTATTCAATTTTAACAATTCATTTAAGGAAATGAGGTAACTTTGTCTTTTAGTAGTCTATGCCTATAGCAGCATGACAAGCCAACTCTAATTATATGATTTTTCAAAAAGGAAAGTTTTAAGGCCAGTCTTACAAATGGACAATGTGTCAGCCTTAAAGACAGAAACTGGAAGTTGTTTCCACAAGAGTGGAGCCTGTTAACTGAAAGATCTTCCTCCCATTCTGCTTTTGGAAACTCTAGGAACCGCAAGTAAGCCTGCAGTCCGAGAGCAAAGCACTCTGTTAGAAAAATATGGAACAATAAGATCTGTAATATAAGATGGAGCTAAGTTGTTGAGAGCTTTGTAGGTTAGAAGTAAGATTTTGAATTCTGTTCTGAATTTGACAGGGAGCCAATGGAGAGAAGCTAAAACTGGAGAGATATGATCTCTCCTACTAACTCCAGTTAAGACTCTGGCAGCAGCATTTTGGATCAACTGAAGATGATTTAGAGAAGTATTTGGACACCCAAATAATAAACCATTGCAATAGTTCAGTCTAGACGTGACAAATACAAATGCAATGCAGTTTTAGCAAAAGTGTTTTACATTGGATGCCCTTCCTGACACAGCCCTCACCATTTACCCGGGCTTGGGTCCGGCATAAGAGATACACTGGTTTGTGCTCCCTAGAGGCTTGTTTGTAGTTAAAACCTGATATTCTCCTAAAATGTTGTGGTGATCAGAATTTTTTTTCTTACAACTTAATTGAAGTGATAATATATTCTGATGTTTTTTGTTTGTTTGTTTCTTCAACAAAATGTGTTTCTCTTACTGAAGTTGTAGAAGTGAATGAGATATTTGCATATAAAACACACAAGCCAATGTCAGATACCCTGACACCTGATGTCTTGCAGGACACTCGTGATGTGAAAACCAAGACTTTAAAATTACCAAATAAGAAGACTCCTGTAGTCAACTCTCCACCCAAGCCAACCAAAGAGAAGGCAGTGAAGCCCAAAAAGGAGAACATTAAACCTGGGAAAGCAGGGAAGCCTGACCCTACAGTGAAAACCAAGGTGGTTGGTCACCAGCCCGGTGTCATAAAGAGCATGACATACTACAAGGCCTCTAAAACTGATGAAGATGAGCATGGAGAAGGTGAGACTCTTTAGTTTGGCTTAAACACTTTGTTTATTTTCCAAGCAAGTGGGGTGTTCATAAAAAGTCACCCACTGTGAGCCAAAGCAAACAATGTGCTTGCACTTCAGCTGAATTTACACTCCCATTTGTGTGTGATCATCTGTGCACAATCCGCTGTGGGTGTTGAAAAGCATCCAGATTTACTTTTTAGCAGTTACCTCATTCCAGAATTAGAACAAGCCGGCTGCCCCAGTCTCTGTGTGTTCATGAGTCTGCTTATTTCCAATATGCCTCATGGAATGCTGCATAAATCTGAAAGAAACCTGAAGAAAGTGATCATTAGGTGTACCGTACATCTAAAACTGATTAAGGAGCCAACCCTTTTCAAGATGTCTACCACAGCCAGCTGACCTTATAAACATAAAAATGGCTGCAATTCTGACTTATTCCCAACACATACAATAGTCTGAACATTAACAGATTGTGTAAGATTGTTGTTTAAAATTTTGCTTCTATATATATTTTTTTGTCTGTTACAAAATACAATAGTCCCTCACTTAATGTGGGGGTTACGTTCCAGACACCCCTGCGATAGGTGAAAAACCGTGAAATAGGAACGCCATAGTTCTTTTAGTAGTTTTATATATTTTAAGGCTTTATAAACCCTTCCCATACTCTTGCAAATTCTAAACTCAAACCTACGTCAATTTATCAACATACATATACCATGTTTTTCGCCATTTAAGTCACAGACGTTGGCATAATTTGCCTGCCTTGCGGCTTATACGCCTAAGCAGTGTATTTATAAATTTTTTTCCCCGCATATTTATAAACCAATTTTTGGCTGCGATATGACTGTTTTCATTCATTCTAACTGAAAGCATTGACCACTACCATTTTCAGCCACTAGATGGCACTCGAGTAGTATGGCATGCCGTTGTATCATGTAATAGGTAGAAGTGACTATTAATGACACAATAGATGTCCCCAGATCCAAACGGAAATCCAGAGGTGATCGGGCTTTTGCAGTTGCTGCTCCAAAATTTGTGGAACAGTTTACCCGAGAATTTAAAGAGCGCTCAGACTGTTGAGACTTTTAAATCTTTGCTGAACTCATTTGTATTCCTTGGCATTTGATCCACGCAGAGTCTGAGAACAAATTTTGAGCAGATTTTATTGTTGTTGTGTATTTACTGTTAACTTTCGTATGTTTTTGAGTGGCACTAGATGCATTTTTTACTCTTTTTATTAAGGATGCACCGATCTACTTTTTTTACTTCCGATCCGATCCCGATACCTAAATCTGAGTATCGGCCAATACCGATCCAGTTCCGATATCATGATCATCATTGATTTTATATGAGGCTGTAATAATCTCCTCTCAAGTACAATTTGTACAAATATATGCATGCATGTCCAAAAAGGCAATTTGAGGTAAGTTGTATTAATGTTGGATAAGTTTTAAAGTTAGAATTAAATTCTAACACAAAACATGTTTTTTATTCCTAGTTTTAACGTGGATATTAAAGTGATTAATTTAAGTGATTGTTTAAAGTTATTTATTTTTTTTTTTAAATAAGGGGCAGATATAAGATTTTTTTTTTCTTTCTGCACTCTTTTCATTCAATATTTTCTTTTTGATGATTTTTTAAAATTTTGTTTCTTTTAAATGAATGAATAAATGAATTAAAATAAAATAAAATGTTAAATGGCTTCAAACTTCTGCTAAGTTCATGGCATAAACCAACAGACATGTTCCTGTTTTTAGTATTTTACATCACTTTATAATGTAGCTGTTTATGTTTTTAATATAATTTTCAAATCATGTTTTTTTTATGATTGTCTACTGTTGTACTGATAAATATTTCCTGGAGGGTAAACTATATCTTGGCTGCAAGTATCAAGCTGAGAAATACTTTGTTTTCTACAACTGATAGTGGTTGCACATGAATCATGATGAAGTTTAGCAACTTCTCGTTAAACATTTGAGCTCCGTGGTTTCAGCGATGTCTTCTTCTTGTTCAGTTCGAAGCAGGCAGTCTGATTTGGGTCAGCCACGCTCAGTCTGTCCCTCCTCAGAGACGGACAGACTGAGCGGGGCAGATTGGACGTGGCTGGCCGGTGTCGAGTCGCCTGTTGTGGGTTGAGCAAAGAGCAGCGCCCCGCTGAAGCCACGGAGCTTGAATGTCCATCGTAAAACTAACTTTACCGTGGTTTAATGTGGCGCTATGGCTCTGCAGACATTGCACGTTGCTGTCTTGTTTTGTGGTGTTTAGTATAAAATACTTCCACACAGCAGACATGTTTAGATGAAAAGTTTGTTAGCTGTTAGCCACAGTGCTGCTAACTCAGTCCTCACGTTGTAGCTGCTGCAAACTATGAACTGGATTTCCTTAATGTGAAGCGGGTCTTATTACTCTGGGCTCATGAGACACGCCGCCGTTCAGGAAATCCATTCCATAGTTTGAAGCCAACATGCATCATGGATCAGAAATATCGGCAGGTTGGATCGGAAAAATCCGATACATAAATTATGCTAGTATCAGAGGCCGATACCGATACTGGATTGGATCGACTCCAACCCTACTTTTTATCTATCTTAACTGCAAAGCACTTTGGTCAGCTTTTGTTGTTTTTATGTGCTATATAAATAAATTGACATTGACACTGACAATCGGCTTGCCACGGCCTGACACCTTTGTTCTGCTTGTTGCTCGGAGCAACCGTCAAATCAGCTTCATTTCGCTGTGCCGCCCCAACAAAATGCAGCTAATTTGACTATTAAAGTGCATTTATTAAGTAAAAGTTCAACTGAGACACACCTTTAATATAATGTCGAGCGAACACAATTGTTTTAGGTGCTTATATTGTTAAATTTCGAAGAAATGTGTAGCGTTCCTCCTTTTGGATTTCCTCCCTGTCTACATGTTCCCGGGAGCACCAAGGCAGCAAATACTTTTGAAATACAGCTGATTTGACTGTTAAAGTCCCTTTATTAAGTTAAAGTTCAACTGAGACACACCCTTACTATAAAGTTGAGCAAACAAATAATAGTTTTTAGGTGCTTATCTTGTTAAATTTCAAAGAAATATGCAGCAACTCGGCCCTCTGTGCATGCTCGCTTCTGCGTATCGGCTTTTGAAATACAGCTGATTTGACCGTCAAAGTGCATTTATTAAGCAAACATTAGACTGAGACACACATTTACTATAATTTTGAGTAAAAATAAATGTTTTTAGTTGGTCATCTTGTTAAACTTTGAAAAAATGCACAGCGACTTATCCCGTGCACGTGCTTACATCCGCGTATCGGCTTTTGAAATTCAGCTGATTTGACCAGCAAAGTGTATTTATTAAGCAAAAGTTAGATTGAGACACGCCTTTACTATAATATTGAGCAAACAAATAATTGTTTTTAAGGGTTAAACTTGTTAACTTCTTGTTAAAGTCCTCCAGTGCACGCCTCCCGCGGCCAATCTATTTTTGGCACAACACCGGCCCACATTTCCGGGTTCGACCCATATTTCTGGGTTGTCAACGGTGACACATAATAGATGCAACGTATACGGCGAAGCAATGTATTTATGGATTTTTCCACTTTAATAGACATATTTGGACTGATGCGACTTATAGGGTGGTGCAACGTTTATGGGGAAAATACAGTATGTACTGTACAGTACTGCAAAATTTTATCTGGGTACTCACCAGTTCTGCAGACCAGCAGCTGCGGCTCGGTTCTGATTCAGCAGACCTACCCTGAAGCAGGATGAAGCCCACTGCCCCGCCCAGGTTGATGTGCGCATGTTGCTGCTCGAGGAAGGGCACTCCGCACGCAAGGGTGCCCAGGATGTAGTCTACCACCTCTGCCCAGGTCTAGACCAGCACCACAGCGACCAGAACCAGGCCGAATCCCGCCGCTGTCTGCATGTTATGTTTGCTTCCTCCACTGCTGCCTTTTTGGCGGAAAGCAGCGGCTGAAAGCACTGTGGGCTTCTGGGCCATGTAGTTCTTTTGACTTGCGTTACAGTATAGGCTTATTGAAAGAAAGCTACAAAGTGGCGGCACCTGTCCAAAGTAATTTTTGTTTTTTGTTCATGAACCACTGAAATTTAGTACAGCTTAACTCTTTGAAACAAAGTAATCTTAGTCTAAAACTCAGCATTAACCTTTTTAACAGTAAAGAGTGTTTTCACGGTTGTGCAGCACACAACACAAGACTTAGGTGTTTTTATTCCCTCCAATGCGGGTCTGGTGAGTGCATGGTTGAATTTGTGGTCTATTCAGCAAGCAGGAAATCCAAATCTTTTATTGACAAAATACTTGGAGCTGATGGAATGTCGTCTCAGTGCAGTGCTGTCATGTCCATGACATGCCTCAGCTCAGAGGACCCTCGTCTCTGCAGCGAAAACATTTCCCGTCTTCTTCCAATCCTCTAGATTTACGAGTGAATAGGCCACATGGACATAAGGCCGTCAGAAGCAGTGTTCTGCCACGTATGTGAACTTGAGAGAGAGTCCAGTCATCCTTGTCCAATCTCTGCCCCCTTTTCCTGCCCCCCCCCCCTTTTTTTATTTTTAAAACTCACCCCCACCCCAAACAGTTTAGTTAAACTGTTATTCTTCAAACATCGGCACAGGATCAAATAGGTAAAAAAAACAAAAACAAATGTTTATAGAAAACATTTTAAAATGCTAAGTGAAATTATACCCTCAGGAGCCATGTGGATAAATCTGCACTGTTTTATTACTGCAACTGTCCACATATGTACAAAGACAAAAGCATGGTCATGTGTTTTTCACCAGATTTCTGAATACATTGTGTAGTAGTGTTGTTGCTCCAGCTGAGGTTGTCATTCAGGTGCACACCCAAGTACTTGTAGCTGGAGACCACTTCCACCACAGATCCTCCTTTGTTTCGGGAGTGGGGAGGGGGGGGCAAGGTGTGTTTGTTCCTTCTGAAGTCCACGACCATCTCCTTCATCTTCTCCACATTGATGTGAAGGTTGTTCTTCTTGCACCAGCTCTCCAGGTGTTCCACCTCCTGCCTGTAGCTGGACTCATTGTTTGTGATGCATCCCACCACCACTGTATCATCTGCAAACTTTACAATATGACATCCTGGATGGGTAGGTGCACAGTCATATCAGGGTTAATATAAATTGATCTACAAACAATGGTGCTCAGGTCTGAAGAAAGTTATGTATGCATGATCTCACCACACATCTCACCTTTAAAGAAATCTGTGTGATGTAAACTTGCATGTTCTTTGTGTGTGTGTGTGTGTGTGCACAAAATGTGTGAGCTGATAGAGTTTTCAGTGCAACGATAGGGGCATCTTTTTGAGCATGCTAGATCACCATGGTAACGAAGATATCTACCTGGTTATGATAAAAAGCTGAACTCGTTTACTGATTCTAGGGGTGTCCCAATACCAGTTTTTTTTTCAGTCCAAGAACAAGTATTTAAGATTGGATACTTGCCAATACTAAGTACAGATAATGAGTAGTTAATAAGTTAGTACTCAAACCCTAGACGAGTTTAGAAACACATTTCTTTTATTGAGAACACAGCAAAGAGCAAATGGTAAATGGACTGTATTTATGTAGCACCTTTCTATCTAATCAAGATACTCAAAGCTCTTTAAGACACAATCTGTGCCTCATTTACCTCCACACACATTCGTACAGCACTCTATTACATCTCTAGATAATCTGAATCTGTAGAGACTAATCAAAGCTTTAGACCACATTTACACTGATGGGACACATCGGAGGCAATGAGGGGTTCAGTGTCTTGCTCAGGAACACTCGGCATGTGACTGCTGGTGAAATCAAACCCACAACTCTCCCACTGGAGGATGACTGCTCTAACCACTCAGCCACAGCTGCCCCAAAGCCCCACTGTCTGTTGTTGTGACTTCCTGCGTTTGGTTTTAAATATTCTCAAAACTATAGACATGGAGTTTTTGTCTATTATATGCAAAGTGGATGAGAAAATGGTCACTGAGCATAAAAGTGGTATTAGTTTGAAGTACTGGGGAGTTTTTATGAGTACAAATAGAAATACTTGGGCCTGATACCAGAAACCAGTAACTGATTCTGTTCTTAACGATGTCCCAGACCAAAAAAAAAAATCAAATTTGAACATCATCTGTCATCATAGCTTGCTTGGTGTTGCAAGATTTAAAACAAGCTGTACACTAATGTCCGCTGAGAGATTTGAATAGTGAACATTTCTAGTTTTTGAGTATTTTTCTTAACTGGAACTGAAAAAAGAACACATATAAACCTTAATGTTTTTGTTGCAAGATATTCAAGTGGGTAGGAGTTACACTGTGGAGAAGAACAGAAATAGTCACTGCAGAGTGATGGATCCTGGCGAGTGAAGGGAGCACTTTTATCCACCACCAGGTGCAGTGGTGGAGCCAAGGGTGGCCAATGATGGCCTTGGCCACACCCCCTTTGATCATCCCAGTCTTTTAGAAAACATTACTTTTAAGTAATGTAAAAATTTAAAAACATTTTGTTTAATAATTGGGGTGGCTGGTTTACATATTTAAATGGTGACAGTCATCTTGGACTTTGACATGGCAACCCAGTGTAGGATTTGTGGTTTGTGTTGCCTGGGGTCTGGCCCCATCTTGTTTTGTCTCGATCTTGTGCTCCCTTATGCATCATTACCTCAATTCCCCACACCCGTGAGGCTCACAGGTGTTGCTTGTTATGTCTCGTTAGTCACTGTATAAAAGTCTATGTCTTTGTGTTATTTGTTGTCTGGGCATCATCTTGCAATTGTCCCAGAGTTCCTACGTGTTCCTAGTGTTTCTACTAGTGATGGCGAGATGAAGCTTCATGAAGCACTGAGGCTTTCCATCAAATAGCTTGACTCGTGATCCAATGTGCCATGGTGCTTCATTTGCTCTACTGCGCCATCTAAGTGGTAAATGTAAAACCGGTAGATGGATTATAATATAACTGGTTTGCAAAGCTTTAAGTTGAAATGGTAAATGGTAAATGGACTGTACTTATATAGCACCTTCCTATCTTATTTCAAGATACTCAAAGCGCTTTACACTACAATCTGTGCCTCATTTACCCATTCATACAGCTCTCTACTAGATCTCTACAAAGATAATTCAACAAATCATTCTAAAGAGACTAATCAGTGCTTTAGATCACATACAGACACCGATGGGACACACATCGGAGGCTATGAGGGGTTCATTGTCTTGCCCAGGGACACTTCGACATTTGACTGCTGGTGGATTCGAACCCCCAACTCTCGCATTGGAAGAAGACTGCTCAAACCACTCAGCCACAGCCGCCCCTTGAATTAAAGAAAAGAAAGAAATCATGTTTGTGAGGACCTCAAATAGTCTAAATTTGATCTGCAAATGATCTTAATTTGTCTTTATGATGATGATGGATTTTTCTGTCTGCCCCTTATATTTCGAATCTCGTGCGTGCAAACGAGCCAGTTCCTGAATCGGTCACGTGGTACGGCCCGCTAGCGAGGCCTTGAACGTCACTACATGCGTCATCAGAACACGTCTCGATACACGCTCCACATAAATCCTCCTAGTTTACTCAACACACGCTTCGAAGCCTCGACACAGAAGGACACATCACTAGTTTCTACATTTCTTGGATTTCTGCGAGTACAGCTACCACGTCAGCTTGTTTATTTTGTATTATTAAAAGTGCTTTCATTTTACTTTCTGGGTCTCTGAGTCCTGCCTGCACCACTGGATTCAACTCTAAAACCACTCTTCACAACATCCAGTTCTTGAAAGGGACCAATCCTCTTCATTACTGCAGCTGAAACCAAATGCTGCTGCTTATTTCATGACAGAAACAAGAAAATGTGATCATAAAAAAAAAAATCAGAGATTCTTTCTTTTGCCTAGAGGTAGCCACAGACCACAATGGAAGTCAGTACTCACTTGTTTTTCAAGTAATCATGCTCCCAACATGCACGATTGTATGAAAGAAGAATATTTCTTATTCCCCATTTTCACTCAGCAGCAGCTGTACCAACTGTGCCACCATTCTGCCCCGATACAAATTGTTGCAATAATCACTGGTGTACATGGGTGATGGGAGAGTATTTTGGAGGTCATAGAATGGTTTTAATAGTAGAAAACAATGTTCTGGTGTTCCCATTACTTGTACCAAATAAATTAGCACAGTAGACTGATTTAGCTATGCAGACAGAATCCTTGTAGTGTTTTATATGGACTTCAAATAATTTTTTATGAATAATGAGTCCTGTTTTATTATATAGTCGTTCCAAACTGCGTCCTTTAGATTTAGGACAGCAGAGTTCTTGAGTATACCAGGGAGCAGAGCGAGAGAAATGAACAGTACGTGTCTTAACAGGGGCAAGTTCATCCAAAATACGTTGAATACTGCTGTTGTAGTACGAAACCAGGCTACTAGGACAAGATAGATTATTGTAATTAAGGGAGACATTCAGTTTGTTAGAGAGTACAGAAGACTCAATGTTCTTGACATTACGGAAGGAAGTAGTTTGAGATGACTGATATCTAGAAATCTCTAGATTAGCATTAAAAGAGACCAGTTTATGATCAGATATAGGCAGGTTTGATGTGACACAGTTAGAGGGAGCTATACCAGAACAACAAACTAGGTCAAGAATGTGACCTTTCATATGAAGAGGAGGAAGAACAGCCCTCCCTCCCGTTGTCATTTTTTTCCCCTCCCCTTGTCTCTTCCGCTCTGTTTAATGTCCCTGTTTAAGCTTAAATGAGGTACTGGTATTTAAACATATATTTTTGGGTGGGTGGAGTTATGTTTGGGTATTTGAAACCATGAGCAAAAGGCCTTGTACATCTGATTACCTGAGAGCTTTCTCTCTGTGTGATGGGAGCCACAAGCACCCAGCTCTGCCAAAGGAAAATGCTAATCAAAGACAGGAAGCTACCAAAAGACAGCAGCAAGTCTTTCAAAATAAAATATA